TAATAGTAGTGCTTAAATGTTTATTAGTGGTAGTTGCAGTGCTTAGTTTTGGTCATCATCAGTGTTGCTCGTGGTGTTCAACAGTTGCAGTGAAGTTTAGCAGTTCTCGTAGTCGACGGGGTCGAGTTCTGTCAGCCTCCGACCGTCGGAACAAGTGGAATAGATGTCGAAACCGTTGATCAAACTAGAATTACGCACAGCCCAGGCTATGTCACATCCACACTGGAGAGGGTTTCCTAGGAGAAGGGAAGGAGGGTCAGGGGTTACTGTTACCACAAGAGAGAAGGAGAACAGTTAAAGCTATTAATTAGGGAACACTTTTTCTACTGGACAAACTATAATGTAAGCCACCAAGTTGTTAGAAAAGTCGCTGTTTGCAGTGAAACTTGTTTACGACTCTTCGTCCAGAACTGTATTTCATTAAGAATCATTAAAATAATGATGCACAATACCGACGAGATGAAGAATTAAAAACAAGTCCTACACTTGGGTATTTTTATCAAGTATTCAAAAAAAAAAAACAGATACTTGGCCATATAAGACAAACGAGCATCCTGAGGTCAGGCGCGAAAGAAGTCAAAAGTGGGTTTCTTTTGTAGGAAGTATTTTTATTATATAAGCCGTAAAAAGTATTAGCGTTGGGACTTAACATTGTGTACAGTCCCTTGTTTTGTTCTCTGAAGTCAGCTGATTTGCGGTTGCTTCCAGAATCCTGCATTTGATTTTGTCCGATACAAATGTAATGCTGCTCCATAGTTCATAATGTCTGAGTGAAGACTGGTGAACAATGCACATGTTGATGTGGCCCACCGTACAAGCATACTTGTGTCTTGAGGCGAATCTGAAGCTCACGCCCTGTCTCACAGATATCAACTTTGCATCATCCTCTCCCAAGGTGTGCAGTATATTTCAGCAGCAGAAGTACATATAGGTCTGGGAGATCTGGTATGTTTCTTGAGGTTCTGCTGGCTTCGACAGCAATGTTCGTGCTGGCTTTACGGAAAATGGGGTTGACAGCGGAGGTAACCCGTCCTGCAGGAAGGACAAGAGAAGGATAAGTGTCGACGGGTTTCTGGGTAGTGGAGCGGATGATCAAATCTTTCCTTTCGTAAGAGTGGCTGATGCGTAGTGAGCTTTTGGATGATGGAGACAAGAAAAACCTATGATGACTTCACGTTTAGTCTTGGGGTCGTAGTGGTAAAAAACACTGTAACAAACCACGGAACGAATGGGGTTTGAACCCATGCTTTGTTTGCAATCGTGCTATTACGATTTCGTGAGTCATAACAACAGTGTAGCAAAACATCTTTGTTGATGAATTGCCAATAAACCCAGTGTTCGAGAGTGATTTCTTCCTCGATGATCACGTCAAAAAAAGGGCAACGCGTCATCTTTTTCTTCCTCCAAAGTTAACGGAATTTTTGTTTCTTCTGAGCTGAGTACGTCCTTAAATTGATGATGATTAAATTTTCTTAAAACAAAAACCAAGACGTTATCAACATTCCTCAGCCGTGATATGTTGCGTGAGATGATGCTCTTGAAGCGGACTTTCTCTAAATGTTTGTGCCAAAGAAGGCACTGAAAGACGAACACATCACCATCTTATATTTCTGTCTGTAAAAGTCATCCCGAAGGAGAAAAGTCTGAACCTAACACATAACTCGATGAGATCCATGAAGTCGTGTTTAGGAAGCGGATGCTGCAAGTCGCCAAGAATTACGTCGGAAAAAAATAAATAACCTGATCAGTAGGTACCCGCGTTAAGAAGTGACGTTAAGGCTGGTGAGTTTTTTCTCATTTTTGGTGGTGACTTAATTCAGTCTGGAAAAGAATATCTCTGGAGTGGCAGAGATGAGAGTTGCTGAAGAAACCAAAGAATCTGGATGGGTATCTAACCATGACCCCCACCAATCAATAGGTGCACTGCCGATCCCAGATGAGATGGATCAAAAGGCTGCATCATTCTCTCCCAACCATCTTCCGTAATGTCAACACGACCATTGTTGTCGTAACCAGCAAAACCATCGAAGGTATCACCATGTCTCATAGACCCAAGAGGGCCACTGGTGCAGGGTTTGCAGCATTCCGAGTGAGGGGATGTAGTAAGGTAAAAATCGATGAGACAGAGGGCGTGATATTCCGACTAGTAGGAACACAAATATGCTTGCAGGATGGACCATATTAACAGCGTATGCGTCGTTCTCCGCAGTCTACACCGTTACACCATCAACCATTGAGCAACACTGCAGCTGTATCAGGATGAAATCTACGGAAAGATACACAAATAACCCGCACACAGGAGAAAGAAACGAACTTATTACGACCTTTCGGTCCGACTTGGACCATTACCTGTATGACTAGTTAATGATTCAAGTCGGACCGAAACGTCGTCATAAGAATGTTTCTTCTATGTGCGGGATATTTGTGCACTATTCCAATCCCGGTATTGTGACTTTTTACACCCTAAGGCAGGTTTCTGGAACATCCCACTATTTATTTACATAACACTATCGAAAAAAAAACAAGGGAATGCACAATATGGCATGTCCTTTGGCTCATATTGTGCACAGTTTATATAATAAAATGCTTCTTATAGACTTGACCCATAACCGTCTTTTCCCTCCTCGCCTTCCACGTACATCGACACCTGTCTCTTACTATACTACAACATTGTAATAAAGTTGGTAGAATTACCGACAATATGTAAAGTAAAAGGACACAAGTGCAACTAATGTGACATTTTATTGTGGCAACGTTTCGCTCTCCAGGAGCTTTGTCAAGCCGTTACAAACAAGACATATACCCTCTGTGTCCATGTACTGTTTGTAACGGCTTGACAAAGCTCCTGGAGAGCGAAACGTTGCCACAATAAAATGTCACATTAGTTGCACTTGTGTCCTTTTACTTTACATACTACAATATTATTCTTTTGACCTCTCCTGCCCGATCTCAGTGTGTATATTTCCCTTATAAGACAGCTGTGTATTTTTGCATACTTCATAATATCCAGTTCTATACGAAACGTTATAAGAGAAGGCGTCGCTACAAACATAGTGTCTTTCTAAACATTATACATTGTACTGCAGGAGCGAGAACGTTATGCAACAACAGTCACTGATTCGTATCTTGTTGTTGCTACCTGGAAACCACTAGCCATTAACTAGCAGTATTCAAGTAGTTCTGTTCTTAAGTACGGTTTCTGTTTCATTAATATAATCTATCTGGCTTGCACTGACTATTAAATAGCGGCTCCATTCGTATACTGACTTGCAGTTAACATGCTCTGAATTAACCTCTGAATTAACGGCGTCTTCCTGGTTTATCAGTAACAATTAATATGTTGTTTCAACCTGCCATGGTTTCAACGTGGTAGTTAGTGGTAATCAGCCAGTGCTTTCTACTCTGCAGTTATATTTAACTAGAGGTTCAGACCCGGTAAATACTACTTGGAAATAAGGTGTGAATAAATAACTGTGAGTGTTGTACACTCATACACAATTGGTAAATAGTAGCAGTGAGTTAGGTGTTTCTAGACTTGGTTTACACTCACCATAAGTAAATATTAGCAGTGAGTTAGGTGTTTCTAGACTTGGTCTACATTCACCATATAGTTAAACAGCAGTAAACTAGGTGTTTCTATTAGTGTACACTTACCGTAGGGGTCGATGTAACCTCCTTGGAGCAAAATGGGTTTCCAGATATTTTCTTCCAGTACTCTTAATGCGTTGTGATGTATGTAGATCCACCCGTTGACCAAACCTAAATGAAGACAGGATCAAGAGAAAATATTAATGTAAAACGCACATTCCCTGGGAAAGTCTGTTATATCAGAAAAAGAATCGCCTTAACGTGGGCTTGAACAGGTCTATACGATCACATATCTCCCTGTTTAAGACGATATATCGTCTATAAAAGACTTTATCTTGTGCGTGAGCATTATTTCATTATTTTAGTCGGTCGACTTCTGGCCAGTCAATACAGTATACATTTTGTTGCAGAATTATGATCTGACCAACAGATAGAATAGAAACGAATTCTGGTTGTTGCTCTCTCTCTCTCTCTCTCTCTCTCTCTCTCTCTCTCTCTCTCTCTCTCTCTCTCTCATATTTCAGACAGCTTGAGATACCAAGTACCTTATTCTATAAGGAAGCTTTTCCTTATTCTGTGAAGCTCATTCCTGTACTTGTTTTCTTTAGCTGATTGTCTCATCGGCGAGAGTTTACGTTCAAAGCAGTTTACTACAAATTCTGTGGGATAATTACAATACTGGTATACAGTAACGAAAGGATGATGAATAAGACATTGGATATCTTCATCTGAATACTTTATGCCAAGAATGAGTCACAAAACTGATAGATGGCCTCGAAGAGAAGTCACTGACGCGCACTTCCGTGGGAAGAACCCTGACCGACCCAAACCAGAGGGAGAACCAGCCACAAGCCCAGAGCAATCTCCGAGACACTAGCACAAGACTGTTGCTAGTGATGTGAACACTGCAGCATCCTTAGCTCCTGTCGGTATTATATACCAAGGTTTTAATGATACTTGTCTGACAGCGCAGGACTAAGGAATCTGGGTACAGAGAACATGTCCTACAACTTATTTGCTAACCTTTGGCCCAACTCGTGTGTATGATGTACTTCTAATAGTAGATTTCCCCAGCCAGAGACGTGACTACAGCTGCTCAACCTCATTTACCTCCAGCATATAAGAGTCCATCTTCCTGCGTGAGTTTGAAATTCATCAAGACTAAGGTTCTGAACACCGGCTTCCAGGCTGAGTAACTGATTGTCTCATAGTTCTGTATAGTTCTGCTAGGCTGAGGGACAGATTACTTAATCATCTACTGTCCCCAGTATCTATCTACATATATATTATATAATATATTATATATATACATATATATATATATATAGGGAGGTACCACCTCTAGAACTGTCCTAGGGACCCTCATCCTCAGAGAAAAGAATAAACTTGCTTCAGGGAAAACTCAAGGTTCTCCCTGAAGCTGTTTGAGAATTTTCTCCTACCATCCCCCTGTATTTAATATATATTTTATTTAAAGACAAAATACATTGACAAAACATTCACAAAGATTCAGTAGGAAGTAAAACAACATAGGTAACTCAGAGCTACATCTCGAATACTTCGTCCAGCTCCCCGGCGGTGGGCCGCGTGCCCAGAATGCTGCAGGCATTTCCTCTCTGGATCGCAACACTGAATCTCTGAAAGAGGAAGCTGGTCGCCCTTAGGTCCTTGGTTTCTATTATGAGCTTTTCACCAAGCTCTTTGAGGAACTTTAGAGCACACTTGCCCCATGCTCCAAGGGTCTCCGACCCTATTGGGATGAAGTTATAGCAAGGGGAAAGGTCTTCATATTTGCGGATCTTCTGGGTCTCCCTGTGGCTGGCAGCTCCACCCCTTCCACTACGGAGTATGGCAAGTAGGTGTCTGTTAATGTGGCGGCACAGGTGTAGTCCCAGGCAATCTGCTTTCCATCCTTCCAAGCTAGCATAGTGACTCCATCAGGACACTTTTGACTTCCGTCAGACCTCTGCACTTGGGGTTCCCGTTGAGCTGGGCAAAGGGCTGTGGCAAGGCTTCTCTTTATGATGTCATTGACCTCCTCATGCCTGGCATACTTCCTTTCTGCTGTGACACACGAAACCATGAAGTCCGAATTGATCAGCTGTCGCCCTGCCGCAAATACACCTATGTTCGGTGAGGATGGGGGCGGCTAGGCGAAGAGCAACACCAATCCGAATGGCCTGTGGGTCTAGTCGAGTGCCCAAGGAGGAATTGGGAACACCTAACAGGAAATCTCCTGAGTGTGGTGCCTTCACTGTCAGGAGAATAGCTTTGTCCTTTCCTGAGAGCACTGTGTTGGCGATTTTTTCCATGATCGGTTTGTCCCAGTGGGACTGTTTGTGTTCTTTGGGAGGAGCTGGTCTGCTGGAGGAATCTGTAAGGGTGTCCCACCGAATCGCTGCTTCAGTAAACCTGGGGCCTTGAGCTCCTACCACGTTTCTCAGCGTTCGGGAACAATCTTCTTGCCTAATGCACTGGAAGCCAAACACGAAAGCAACATGCGTTGCTTTGCGCACCCCTATACTGATCCCATTGCTGATCCTCTAGTGACAGGTTCAGTGCCTTCTTAAAGGTTGACCTCAGGAGAGCGTCATATTCGTCGAGTGTTGGGTTGTCAAAAGAGGGTGCACACCTCAGGAAGTAAGTGAGTCTTGGCATAGTAAGGCACCTTGTGAGGAGATGCAGAGCATCATGGGCATCAAGATCGCTTATTGTCTGCTCCATTCTCATTATGTCATTCAATTTGTCCTTGAGGACAGTGTCGATGGCCTGGTGACCCAGCGGTGCTCCCAAGAGGGTACTGTTGGACGGAGTGGTAGTAGAGACTTCTGGGAGGATTCTTCGCGCAGCATTGATTATTTCCTGGTTCACCATGATGATTTCACACTTGGAGGGATTGAGGATGAGTCCCAAGTCTTCTCCCTGTGTTTTCACCAGTTGTAGGTCCCCTACCAGGGACTCTTCAGTACCTGCCAGAGTGCCATCATCCAGGTACCAGATGTTGAGTTCGCTGCCTAGGCTGAAAGTTAGTTCTCTTACTGCCAAGCAGAAGAGAAGTGGAGCTAGTGGGTCACCCTGTTGAACACCCTCTGATGAGAGAATTTCATGTTCTCCAAACAAAAGAATTGAGGGTTTGCTGTAGCCGGCTGAAATGAAGGGAAAAAGACTGGGGGACCGATCCCGAACAGCTGGCAAGACAGCATCTCTCTTCACCATATTAAAGGCATTTCTAAAATCAAGTTTGACAACGGCCTTCTCTTCTGGTAGGTCCCTGATGTAGGCCCTTGCCGCACGAGCTGCGGCTTCACTACCTTGAGAGACCCAAAAGCCCAGTTGGTGTGACTGAAGTAAACTGGCAGCTTCTAGGCGAATATTTCTTACTGCTGCTTTGGCAACGAGATGGCGAAGAGTGTTACCAACTGCAATGGGTCTGACTTCCCCATCCTTCTTCTTCAAAGCACATAGTGAGGCTCCAAAAAAGAAAGGTTTAATTTCTTCTGGGATTCGCCCAGCCAGGCAGTTGTTGACGAAAGTTGTTAACTCGGTGAGAAGAATTGATGGAGATGCACCGAGTACTGGATTTACCATCTCTTTGAGGTGCTGAGGTCGAATTCCAGTGTAACCTCTTGCAGATCCTGCTGGAAATGACACAATCGCCTTATAGACTTCCGATTCTGGCAAAATTAATTGTTCAGTGATGGGGTCTTCCTCAGGGTTGTTGTTGATGGCTATGGTGTCCCTGGTTGGATGCTTGTCTCGTAGTGCTTGGGCTGTGGTCTCATCTTTGGGCGCTACAGTGTCGTCACTTGTAATTATTCTGATTGCTCCCACTGTGTTACCTTCTTCGATTTTTTGCTATATATATATATATATATATTATATATATATATATATATATATATATATATATATATATATATATATATATATATATATATTATATATATCTTTCTTTCAACATACCACCGTATCCCACCTAGGCGGGGTGGCCCAAAAGAAAAAACTAAAGTTTCTCTTTTTAAATTTAGTAATATATACAGGAGAAGGGGTTACTAGCCCCTTGCTCCCGGCATTTTAGTCGCCACTTACAACACGCATGGCTTACGGAGGAAGAATTCTGTTCCACTTCCCCATGGAGGTAAGAGGAAATAAACAAGAACAAGAACTAGAAAGAAAATAGAAGAAAACCCAGAGGGGTGTGTGAGTATATATATGCTTGTACATGTATGTGTAGTGTGACCTAAATGCAAGTAGAAGTAGCAAGACATGCCTGAAATCTTGCATGTTTATGAGACAGACAAAAGACACTAGCAATCCTACCATCATGTAAAACAATTACAGGCTTTCGTTGTACACTCACTTGGCAGGACGGTAGTACCTCCCTGGGCGGTTGCTGTTTACCAACCTACTATATATATATATATATAATATATATATATATATATATATATATATATAATATATATATATTATAATATATATATATTTATATATATATATATTATATATATATATATATATATATATATATATATATATATATATATATATATATATATATTATATATATATATATATTATATATATATACATAAATTGTCTAAATCAGACACAAAATGTTATCATTCATGAAATAACGTCATCAAAGGTCAGAGAGTAGGGTCGTTATCGCTTAATTACTGAGGCGAGAGAAGAAATATACTTGGCACTAGATCGCTGGACGGAGGTACGCCTGGTGGCAGACTCTCTAAGGCACGCCTGTCACTAGAAAGCATGAGGAAGCAATACTGCTTGCAAAAGTAGGTGGCCTGGTGCTAGACAGTAAAGTAAGGTAGGTAGTCCGGTGCTAGACAGTGTCATGAGTCAAGTAGCCTAGTACCCCAGGTAGCCTGGCTAGTAAGCCCATCTACTGATAACGATACAGTTGCTCCCACACACATTATCATCTGAATGACAACAATACAGTAGCTCCCACACACACTATCATCCACCTGACAACCATACAGTAGCTCCCACACACACTATCATCTACCCGACAACCATACAGTAGCTCCCACACACACACTATCATCTACCCGACAACCATACAGTAGCTCCCACACACACACTATCATCACCTGACATACCATACAGTAGCTCCCACACCACACTATCATCCACCTGACAACCATACAGTAGCTCCACACACACACTATCATCACTGACAACCATACAGTAGCTCCCACACACACACTATCATCTACCTGACAACCATACAGTAGCTCCCACACACACTATCATCCACCTGACAACAATACAGTAGCTCCCACACACACTATCATCTACCCGACAACACATACAGTAGCTCCCACACACACTATCATCACCTGACAACCATACAGTAGCTCCCACACAACACTATCATCCACCTGACAACCATACAGTACTCCCACACACACACTATCATCTACCTGACAACCATACAGTAGCTCCACACACACTATCATCCACCTGACAACCATACAGTAGCTCCCACACACACTATATCCACCTGACAACCATACAGTAGCTCCCACACACACTATCATCCACCTGACAACCATACAGTAGCTCCCACACACACACTATCATCTACCTGACAACCATACAGTAGCTCCCACACACACTATCATCTACCCGACAACCATACAGTAGCTCCCACACACACTATCATCTAAATGACAACCATACAGTAGCTCCCACACACACTATCATCCACCTGACAACCATACAGTAGCTCCCACACACACACTATCATCTAAATGACAACCATACAGTAGCTCCACACACACACTATCATCTAAATGACAACCATACAGTAGCTCCACACACACACTATCATCTAAATGACAACCTACAGTAGCTCCCACACACACACTATCATCCACCTGACAACCATACAGTAGCTCCCACACACACACTATCATCTACATGACAACCATACAGTAGCTCCCACACACACTATCATCTAAATGACAACCATACAGTAGCTCCCACACACACACTATCATCTAAATGACAACCATACAGTAGCTCCCACACACACACTATCATCTAAATGACAACCATACAGTAGCTCCCACACACACACTATCATCCACCTGACAACCATACAGTAGCTCCCACACACACTATCATCTAAATGACAACCATACAGTAGCTCCCACACACACACTATCATCCACCTGACAACCATACAGTAGCTCCCACACACACTATCATCCACCTGACAACCATACAGTAGCTCCCACACACACTATCATCTAAATGACAACCATACAGTACTCCCACACACACACTATCATCCACCTGACAACCATACAGTAGCTCCCACACACACTATCATCTACCCGACAACCATACAGTAGCTCCCACACACACACTATCATCTACCTGACAACCATACAGTAGCTCCCACACACACTATCATCCACCTGACAACCATACAGTAGCTCCCACACACACTATCATCTACCTGACAACCATACAGTAGCTCCCACACACACTATCATCCACCTGACAACCTTTACAGTAGCTCCCACACACACACTATCATCTAAATGACAACCATACAGTAGCTCCCACACACACTATCATCCACCTGACAACCATACATAGCTCCCACACACACACTATCATCTAAATGACAACCATACAGTAGCTCCCACACACACTATCATCCACCTGACAACCATACAGTAGCTCCCACACACACACTATCATCTAAATGACAACCATACAGTAGCTCCCACACACACACTATCATCTAAATGACAACCATACAGTAGCTCCCACACACACACTATCATCCACCTGACAACCATACAGTAGCTCCCACACACACTATCATCTAAATGACAACCATACAGTAGCTCCCCCCACACACTATCATCTAAATGACAACCATACAGTAGCTCCCACACACACACTATCATCTAAATGACAACCATACATAGCTCCCACACACACCCCTATCATCCATCTGACAACCATACAGTAGCTCCCACACACACTATCATCTAAATGACAACCATACAGTAGCTCCCACACACACTATCATCTAAATGACAACCATACAGTAGCTCCCACACACACACTATCATCTAAATGACAACCATACAGTAGCTCCCACACACACACTATCATCTAAATGACAACCATACAGTAGCTCCCACACACACTATCATCCACCTGACAACCATACAGTAGCTCCCACACACACTATCATCCACCTGACAACCATACAGTAGCTCCCACACACACTATCATCCACCTGACAACCATACAGTAGCTCCCACACACACTATCATCCACCTGACAACCATACAGTAGCTCCCACACACACTATCATCTAAATGACAACCATACAGTAGCTCCCACACACACTATCATCCACCTGACAACCATACAGTAGCTCCCACACACACTATCATCCACCTGACAACCATACAGTAGCTCCCACACACACACTATCATCCACCTGACAACCATACAGTAGCTTCCACACACACTATCATCCACCTACAACCAAAACAGTAGCTCCCACACACACTATCATCTAAATGACAACCATACAGTAGCTCCCACACACACACTATCATCCACCTGACAACCATACAGTAGCTCCCACACACACTATCATCCACCTGACAACCATACAGTAGCTCCCACACACACTATCATCCACCTTGACAACCATACAGTAGCTCCCACACACACACTATCATCCACCTGACAACCATACAGTAGCTCCCACACACACACTATCATCCACCTGACAACCATACAGTAGCTCCCACACACACACTATCATCCACCTGACAACCTTTACAGTAGCTCCCACACACACTATCATCCACCTGACAAACCATACAGTAGCTCCCACACACACACTATCATCCACCTGACAACCATACAGTAGCTCCACACACACTATCATCTACCTGACAACCATACAGTAGCTCCCACACACACTATCATCACCTGACAACCATAAAAGTATCTCCCACACACACTATCATCCACCTGACAACCATACAGTAGCTCCCACACACACTATCATCCACCTGACAACCATACAGTAGCTCCCACACACACTATCATCCACCTGACAACCATACAGTAGCTCCCACACACACTATCATCCACCTGACAACCATACAGCAGCTCCCACACACACTATCATCTACCTGGCAACCTCTGTTGATTTCCGAAAGGAGACCAGAGTCCTCATCACTTCGTTTTTCTGAACTACCATCATATAAAGTGCCAATGATACGTAACCGACCTATTTCCTCGGATAAAACAGCTTTGGGAATACAAGAAGAGTTATTTCTGTTTTCATCATTAAGCCTAAATAAAAATTTCTGGGTAAACAATTTTAAAAAGACTCCCGATAAACATAATAATGCTGTTTTCCCTCCTATGTTCAAGAAAACACATTGATGTCCTATCCATAGGCGATGTTTTTTTTTTTGTGTTGCAGAATCCCGATTTTGGATATAAATATCGCTCTGCTTGGTTGGTCTGGTTTTCCAGGAAACAGAACAAGTGTTTCCTGACGCGGGTCTTAGATGACACACAACTGGAGCTTTAGGTCATCTAGTCGAGACCTTTCGCTGGCTTACCGGTCTACCCCCTTTAAAAATTAGGGCTTATTAGATATATCGCTCTGCTCAGAAAAGTTAAGGAAATACAAACTTTGCAGAACGTTTTATTAGGATTACGTTTTATTAATATTACGTTTTATTAGAATTACGTTTTATTAATATTACGTTTTATTGTGATTAATTCTTCATCTTGATTCGCCGGTACTCTCCCGGCCCGGGTGTCTTCCAGATGGTGACCCGGCCTTGGCTCCCTGTCTAGGGAGTGTCTTAGACCTATGTCTGTCATGGGAGGAGGTACAAGTACCTCCTCATCTTCTGGGACCAACTGCTCCTAGGCCTAGCCCCATTCCCCGCCCTCACGGGGTTCGTAGGGAGAAGTTAGGCCCCTGGTCTGCCATCTTCCCCTCCCCAGGGGGGGCTCGTGGGAATGATCGATTAGGATTACTTTTTATTATGATTATGTATTATTTATATTACATTTCATTAGGATTATATTTTATTAGGAATGTATTTTATTAGAAATACGTTATATTAATATTGAGTTTTATTAGGATTACGCTTTATTAAGACTGCATTTAATAAAACTCTACACAAAGCTAAACTTACATTCCTAGTTTTCAGGCCATTGATGGTCTGACCAATGTTAAGTCTCACCTGGAAATGCATTGGCCTGGACGCTCCTCAGTGCGTTGTAGCCTAAGTCGATCAAGCCAACTGAAGGACTGCACTGGATTGCCTCTTCCTCCAGGTAGGTGATAAGGTTGTTTCCAAGACCCAGCACCGTCAAGTGTTCGAGCTCAGCGAAGGTGCCTGCGAGGAGAGATGCAATTCTGTATGAAATTAAGATTTTTTTTTAATATATAGCATGTGATTGTCGGATCGAATACTATTTGAGGACCACTTTTTGTCCGCGATCAGAGAGCAATTTTCCACTGCTATCAGCTATCAGCGAACACTCTTTTTGCTATCAGATAGCATTCTCTTTCTGCTATCAGGTAACACTCAGTCCCTCTGCGACAAGAAAGCTCTCTCGTTTATTTTATCATTTTTTTATCTATTTATTTTAGGGACTTCACATTTCTAACCTCAGCATCACAAAGACTCTGCCTCGCCATCTCTGAATAGCTTTATATAGCAATAACGAAGCCTCAGCTGAACGACAATGTCGTTAACACGCTGGCTTCATTGCTCATTTGTAAGTTTGTAAGCTTTGTTAGTAGACTGATTTGTTGTAAGACTTGTTTTAATGAAATATTTGCGTTTTGATGTTAACGAGCTGTTCTGCCTGATAAATGTTGTTTTATATTATATACTGATAATGGGGCTTGGAAGTCCGAAAATTATGAAAAAAAAATAAGTGAAGATGTTTATCATGGCTTTTGCATTTCTGTTCCTCATGCGGTTAAGATTTCCGAGTCACACACACACACACACACACACACACACACACACACACACACACACACACACACACACACACACACACACACACACACACACACACACACACGCACGCACTCAACACAAACTAGTATCGTCTGTAACCTAGAGATTTCTACTCTAGCTTACGTAAAGCAAGAACAAATACATAACTCTCATTAGACTGATAGAAACGCAAAGGTTGGTAAAGTTTATCAGGAAACAGTGCAAGTGTTTCCTGACGAGGATCTTAGTCTTATGATGACCCACATTGCTGGTAGGTTTACTATAAGGTTCATGAGTAGATACGCTCGTTAATAGACTGAGAAAATAAGATAGTTTTCATACCTGAGTTCACCACGGAAATCTTTGTGGAAGAAAGGTGGATATCCTCCAGAGCAGGAGTTCCGAAGAAGGCGTCGTCGGGCAATATGCCCAGAGGGTTCTTAGAGAGGTACAGCGTCTTCAGCGTGGCTGAGGATAGTGTGGGAAAGCCTTCAATGTTGTTGCTCCTCAGATCCAGAGAGATAAGCTCTGTAAAGGACTCCAAATCAGCGAAAGGAAACGTTGAGATGTTATTGTAGTTGAAGACCAAGTGAAGGAGAGTGGAGGAGCTGCCGGATAATGCACCTTCTTCAATCGCCTCCAGTACTCCTTGAGTGATCCAGATTTCCTGAAAGGATGCCTCCCCCAGATCACCATTCCGTAGCAATTTCAGGTTTGGGTTAGAGTTGATGACAAGTCTGCGGAAGCTTGTGGACGGGAAGTTTGCTTGAAACACAGCTGCTAGTTCATCCTCATCCAACACAGCAGAACAGTCTATGTCCAGGGTCTCAGGGTTCACCTCATAGCAAACACACGGAGTGATGTCCTCTTCGGCTGGACAAACTACGTCTTGAAAGCTCATGTAAGCGCTCCTGCCCCCTCCTATCCGTCCTCCTAGAGTAGGGCTTAATATGAACAGGAAAAGTATAAAGGAGGATTCCATATTGAATGAATTGCGTCAGAACAAGATCTCCAATGCCTTTGACAGCCTTAAACAAGATCTTTAGAGCGTCTGATGGTTCATCAAGTCTAGCACCGACTGATATTATTCTCAGTGGTGGGAAAAACGCCACCTGTTTCTATCATATTGTTGGGCCTTGAGTGTGTGAGAGGTCATCTGAAGATATATGGAAAAGATAGCGAGGAAAGCGAGTGAGCATGGGAAAGAGATGATGGTTAGCCGTGATGATAAGCCACGTAGCAACACAGGAGTCACTGACAACAGTTCACCCTACTAAGGAATAGAACGTGAATGGGAGATACCAACACTCATAGGAAACAAATCTGTTTCACTGTCATTTATGAGCAGCCATATTTATTTCCTTATTGTGTGTTACTACGGGTAAATGTAGATCCTGTTAGGAGAACAAATTGCTAACCGAGAGGAGAGTTTGCTTATCCTAGCAGTATTTACATAGCTCCTGGATCTACTACAACCTTCTCCTGGACAACGAAGTTTGTGTCAGATATATATATTTTTTTTTATATACAACCGGCCGATTCCCACCAAGGCAGGGTGGCCCGAAAAAGAAAAACTTTCACCATCATTCACTCCATCACTGTCTTGCCAGAAGGGTGCTTTACACTACAGTTTTTAAACTGCAACATTAACACCCCTCCTTCAGAGTGCAGGCACTGTACTTCAGATATATATTATATAATATATATATATAATTATATATAATATATATATATATTATATATATATATATATTTATATATATATATATATATATATATATATATATATATATATATATATATATATATATATATATATATATATAATAAAACTCCTGACTTTTTTAAATCAACTTCTTCCGCCCATCAATCAACCCATGCCACCCATAAGTCAGCTGGCACCACCTCGGCGACATTTTTTTCTGTTTACTCATGCAAGATTCTCAGCTGCTGCTCATCAAGTCTCTATCTCTCTCTCTCTCTCTTTCTCTCTCTCGCCTACCGGTATGCTAGGAGAGGCGAGGAAGGTGCGCAACTGACAGGCAGCCGCCGGGACAAGAACGGATAAAGTTCGACAATAATATTACTTCTGCTTGTGGCGTCAGACGCGAGGGAAGCTCAAGTAATCTAAGTTTTGCATGCAAAGCTGTATATGTTTTTTTCGTGCTTGAGGGATGCGTGCCTTTGTGTGTGTGTGTGTGTGTGTGTGTGTGTGTGTGTGTGTGTGTGTGTGGAGTTAAGTTCACTAGTAAACATCTCTGTTTATAAGCACACTTATTAAATTATTTTCATTCCGCTTCTCCCGCAAATTAATGTCATGCCCCAGGTCCTCCTTGCTGCTAATTTTTAAGAGATTATTCCTGCTCTCTTGTAGGTTCTCATGAACTTAGAGATGGTGACACAACTTAGTGAGAGACAGTTAAAGTTAAAAACCACTGCTGTATATTTCGAATATACAGCACAATTCCGTACATTGATGAGAGTTGTAATGTAAAGAGTCACAGTGAGGTTAATTTCAGTACAATTGTGTATGCTGAGGAGGGCATCAGAATAAGACCGAAACATACAGCGCTCATTTTGAATTTTATTGTCTCGATGTGGGTTCGTTTGTTACCTTGAAAAATTATTACACTTTTATATTTATAAGCAGTTATTAAATCAACTCTCCTACCGTCCAGACTTTTAAAGTCCGGAATCCTTTTCGCTGGTTGTCTAACGATTTCTGTTTTATTGGAATCGTAAAATTTGGTCTTCGTACTCCGGTTTGGGTGTATCCTGAGGGGTCTACACACCAGCTGCACGCGCAGACATTGCTCTAACATTTTCCAACATTGGCTAAACAAACTCCAATTTAGATATAATATAAACCAACTTGAATCTAGCTTACCTGAAACTCTAAGGTACTGGCGTAACGCAACGAGTGTCTTTTGGTCTTTCTAATATTGCTGCTACAGCGCACCACAAGAAATCTGCTTTGGTTTCTTTAATATTTACCTGAGCCGCTACAGATGTTTAAAATAAGATGCCAACTGCCTTTGAATTAACATATCACTAACTACTGAGGACATACAGAACGTATGTACAATAGTTCGATGCACTGCAGGGTTGTGCAGTGAAGTTATTATTCAAAGATGAGATAGGCTATTGTTGATGTACTTGTAGTAGTAGTAATAATAGTAGTAGTAGTAGTAGCAGTAATAGTAGTAGTAATAGTGGTAGTAGTAGTAGTAGTAGTTATGGTAGTAGTAGTAGTAGTATTAGTAGTTGTAGTAGTAGTAATAATGGTAGTAGTAGTAGTAGTAATAATGGTAGTAGTAGTAGTAGTAGTAGTTGTGGTGGTAGTAGTAGCAGTAGTAGTAGTAGTAGTAGTAGTAGTAGTAGTAGTGGTAGTAGTAGTAATACTGGTAGTAGTAGTAGTAGTAGTGGTAGTAGTAATAGTAATACTGGTAGTAGTAGTAGTAATAGTAGTAGTAGTAGTAGTAGTAGTAGTAGTAGTAGTGGTATTAGTAGTAATACTGGTAGTAGTAGTAGTTGTTATGGTAGTAGTAGTAGTAGTATTAGTAGTGGTAGTAGTAGTAATAGTGGTAGTAGTAGTAGAAGTACTGGTAGTAGTTGTGGTGGTGGTAGTAGTAGTAGTAGTAGTAGTAGTAGTAGTAGTAGTAGTAGTAGTAGTAGTGGTAGTAGTAGTAGTAGTAATATTGGTAGTAGTAGTAGTAGTGGTGGTAGTAGTAGTAGTAATACTGGTAGTAGTAGTAGCAGTGGTATTAGTAGTAATACTGGTAGTAGTAGTAGTAGTAGTTGTGGTGGTGGTGGTAGTAGTAGTAGTAGTAGTAGTGGTAGTAGTAGTAATACTGGTAGTA